CTAAACGGAAATCGAATAAATTGATAAAGTTGATCATTAGCTTCAAAAGAAGTTTATTCCCTCTCAGACTGCTTTAATCCCACTTAATAGGCACTTTTTAAATCGAAAGTTGAGAAATATTTATACCCGGCAAACATATCATCAATTCCAGCCAATGGGTAGGCAGCAGGCTCATTGCAAATGGTTATGTTACGAGAGTACTCCATGCACAATCTTTTCCTATGCCTTCTAGTTTCAGTCTTAAGCTCGACAATTTGAACACGCCATAGCGAGATGCTAGGCTCAATAATCAACAGCATATTTATTTCCTTCGCAATAAAGTCCTGATCGTCTTTATTAAAGTATCTGAATTTTGTAACAATTAGCTTCCATTCAGATATAATATTCGGGGACAACGTGGGCTCTACTAGACGAGCAACCTCTAAAGGATAACCTGTTCTTATATGTTTTGCAACGAACTCAAACGTCTTTTTCTTTCTTAGTAAGTAATTAAAATTATTTATTTCAAATATTTTGAAAACATTTATGCTTCTCTTTGCATAGCAGAAAATCTGTCAACTTTGTGATTCGCTCACTGAAATGTTATCAAATAAGCTAGCCAATTGAAACACTCGTTACTAACCGATGACTGATTGGCCTTCCGAGTGGGGTTCCTTTCAGCTTACAGTAAGTCAATGCACGAAAATATAGTCTAAAGAGAAGAAGAAAAAATGGCACTTAGCTTTTATATTTCCCATGTAAATTCTAAACATGTCTGGAGCAATTTATTGAGCAAGCCCGACGGCATGACATACATTGGTTGAAAACGTTGTGGATACAGATGGTTTTGACAGTCGAACAAAACGAGAATAAAAGAAATGCTTCTTAAAGGTTTCTCTCATCGAAACAAAATCTGGGGAACCAGATCGAAGCAGCGACATCTCGTCGAGAAATTATAGAATCTCTTATAAAACGTGTAACTTAAAAAAAAGATGAAAATTTAATGCATGAATGAACTGCGATATTCATTGCAGCTGCCATTATAATGGCTGAAAATTCTGACTATATTTCACGCATTTCTATAAATATATTCACCGCTTGAATCGAAAAGATTTTTCAGCTTTGCCATTACAGATTTTATTCGAATTTAATGCTTTTAGCATATTTTTACGCGAGAAATATCCTTTATCCTTTATTTACACGCACACACACAACAAACACAATTATATATATATATATATATATATAATATATATATATATATATATATATATATATATATATATATATATATATATATATATATATATATATATATATATATATATATATATATATATATATATATATATATATATATATATATATATATATATATAGATACATATATATATATATATATATATATATATATATATATATATATATATATATATATATATATATATACAGACACACATATATAGGTATAAAATATGGACATTTAAATCAACATCAATCGGTGACAGTCTGTTTCATACTTGAATGCAACGATTGCGTTTAAGCATGACTGTCGCCGCTGGGTGTTAACTTCAATCTTCAATTATATATATATATATATATATATATATATATATATATATATATATATATATATATAGTAAGCGTAATGTAATGTAGGCTGTCCTTGGTTACGCTTCAAGAACAAACTCAAGTACAATTTAAATGCTGCAAACGTCGTTATAGAGGAGTTCGAACTCGCTGTTGAAAAACGAGCAAACTGGAGAAACACTTGCTACCGAGGTATAAATAACTTTGAAAAGAATCACCTCAACCATCTGAGAGAATTAAGAATTAACACTAAATCTCAGGCTAATATATTAGTCCATATTGTGGTCAACCCTTCAGTATGCCCTTCATGTGTATTTGTTTGCAAATCCCATGCAGAATGGTTGTCTCATACGAAACATGAGCATAAACACTGAACTGAAAGACATTCATAAGTCGAAAACGACGGGAGAGTCCATTATATATATATATATTTTTATTTATTTGACTTAATTATTTTTATTTACTTATATACAGACATACACTCAAAAAGATATATATATATATATATATATATATATATATATATATATATATATATATATATATATATATATATATATATGAAGACAAATATAGGCTTAGGGGCATTAAATACTGTAAGCGAAGAGTAATTTGTGATTTGCTAAACAAATTTGAATGAATCAATTCTTAATTGATGAAAAATTAGTTCATATCGTCTTCTTTAAAATTTAATATTCTCAGAATATTTCAATGAATAAAATTCAAATTCTTCCTTAGCACAAACATGAACCTTTTCTGCTTATAATGTAAAGAAGATCCATCGACAAATGTTTATCTTAGCTTAAAATCTGTATTTGCAGCCATGTTCGAAAAACGGAGCAAGAAGAGAGGCGTAGATGAATCTTTTTAAAGTACGCTAGTCTTAAGGACATATCATGTTGAAACACCGATTTTTGTATGAGTAGGGAAAAAACGTCGAACCCGGTCTTTAACCTAGATGTATGACCACATTGGAATATCAGATGCTGTAAGATTGGATGTGCGGGTGGCGAAATGTATAATGGCTCGAAATTAAAAATCGGAGAGTCAAATACCAATTTCAGTCAGAGTCGTTATATTCACTTAAGCGCGAATATCCTTGGACAAGTTATAAATCCACCTCTTCTCCCCATTAGCTATGGGTTAAATACTAAGATTTACATCAGTAAATCATTATCTCCAAAAATATTCTTATAATCTAAAAATATTCCTGGCTTTGAATAACCTGCTAAACGCTGATAAGCCGTAAAAATAAAATCAATCAGTCAGTCAATAAAATACACTAGAAGATCGTCACGATTTTTTTATTATTTTTTTTTTCTGCAAAATGTTTCACTATTTTTAGTCATCGATGTTTATAGCAGATTGTTTTCTACTCAGCACATTATGATGGCATCCAAACATTTTCAACTATTAAGACGTGACATTCTCTGATTTTTTATTAAAAGTTTCTTTTCGACTCCTTCAAACCAAATTCTGTGAATTTAGTTAAAGATGGCGTGCATAAATCTATCAAGTTCCCAAATTAAAGGGTTTTTTCAAAAATATGTTCCCTAAAATAATTCGCAATTTAATAAATTTGTCATGGACATAATAGTATAAATAATGAATCATCATGGCGAATGTTAAGCAGGATTCTTCATTTTTCGTTTTCATTTCTGCATCAACCTGATGCGAAACTTTCAGTCTAATTTAAAAGTTTTACTTAATCTGAGAGTTTATAAAAATTGTTTTCCATGTAACCCTTCTGCTAATTCTTATTTTTCTGAGTATTACGTTCTTTTTTAATAACAAAAACAGTTTGATAACAATGTTGGTGATTATAATAAACATCTTCCTCTTAATCTACATTTTACTAGAATAATATTGTAATATATCATCAAAGATTCTTTGGCATTTACGGCAGAGATAAGTAGAAGTGTTAACAGACATTTTACCATATTCCATGGAAAATACTACATACTACATGAATGAGAAGAGAAAAAGTTAAACGAAGAAAAAAGTAAAAAGATTTTGGGCAGAGATAGAAAAAGATAAGAAAAACAAAACATAAGTAACAAAGAACTATTGGTCCCAATTTTGTTATCATAACGTTTCAGTCATTCTGCCCGCCGGCCTTCATCATGCGATTGTCGATCCGGGCTACCTCCAGGGAATTTCAAAGTGAACACTTTATTTAATTTACGGGATGGATAGAAATTTACAAGAAAGAAAGCGGGGGAGAAAAGAGAAATATCTTGTTTGAAATAGTCAAGAATAGATATAAGATTACTTTATATTCTATATAGATTCTATTTCCGGAAGTTATCTTGTCCGAGCAGGTTCATTGATTGCTTCTGATGCCTGGAAAACAACGTTTGCTTCTATTTTTTCCTTTCTTTTCCAGCCCTCATCCAAATATCCATTTGCACAGACAAACGCTCGCACGTATTGTGCACTCACACCCACAAAACTTGCATTTAACAAGTCCATAGAATTCTTTCAATCCAAGACAAAAGACTTGTCTTCGATTAAAAGAATATTATCCTGCTTGGACAAGACAACATCCAGAAGCCACGATATAATATTACTTTACCATTATGCACTTGAAAACCAAACAGTAAGTTTGTAATTTGCGAAGAGGAAAAAGTATCTTGTGACCTAGTAAAGTTCGTCTAGTGGCCATATTGTAATGATGTTTCCATTGATTTATTGGATGTTATATTGTCCATTTTCTTGAGGACTTTTGTATCGCAATAAATAATACTTGATTAATTTCTCGACAAAGAAGTAGCATTACAGAAATAGTTCAGTGTGATTGATGCATAAACCGTTCTAGGAAGTTTGGCAGATAAGATTATCTGCAAGATATAAATTCTTCATAAGATAAGTTTTCGGCGCGAAAGAAAGAAATTAAACCAAAGGCAGATTACTAAACCTGCAAGCTGCATTATTCCAGTAATACAAATCCGTCCTTCGTGACCTTTTTTTTTAATTCTTACTAAGCAAAAGGCAAGAATTCTAGGAGCGTGTGGAGTGTGAAGAATAAAAATGGATATTATCAAAAGTGAAATAAACAGATTCAAAACAGAATGCACAGTAATCTTTACATCTATTAATGATGTTTCTCTTTTCTTGCTCGCTTTCTTACTTTTAAATTTCTGTTCACCACGTAAACTAAATCAAGGTTTCAGTTTGAAATTCCCTGAAGATACCCGTATCGACAATTACCTGATGAAGGCTGGTAGGCACAATAACCGAAACGTTTTGACGACAATAATGAGATAAATAGTTATTTGTTTCTTATCTTTTTTCTTTCTCGCTCCGGGGTCTTTTTCTTTTTGTCTTCTTTTTTTGTTTTTATTCTTCTCAGTTTTTTCCTTTTTACTTTCTTTCACTTATTCCCCTTATTTAACTGCCATCTTTTGATATTTCCTTCGTCTTCTTCCATAATGCTCTTATTTTCCATGTCTTTCTCTTCTCTTCTTTTTTTTTTTTTGCTTTTCCCTTCTCATTCTTTCTTCTTACTTTTCTTTCTTCCTTTCTTCCCCTATACCTCATATTTTACAAGCCCTCTTTTTACATTTTCTTCTTCCCTCTCCATACCTTCTCTTCTTTTTCCTTTTCTTTCTTTTCTCTTCTTTTTTTTTTTTTGCTTTTCTCTTTTTTCTTCCCCTATACTGCATATTTTATTATATCTGTTTTTACATTTTCTTTTAATTTTCCTTGCTTCTATTATTTTTTCCCTTTTCTATCTTTTGCCTTCTTTTTTGTTTTTTCATTTCACATTCTTTCCTTCTTACTTTTCTTTCTTTCTTTTTCCTCCTTCTGCCTATACCCTATATTTTATAATCCCTCTTTTCATGTTTTCTTCTTCTCTTTCCATACTTCATTTATTCTTCCTTGCCTTTCTTTTCTTCTTGGTACGTCATATCTTTTTTCACTTCGTTTCTCCTTTTCATTTCTCTCTTTTTTATCACCGATCTTTCTTTAACTCCTCCCATATTTCTTTCTACACTTTTATCTTTTTATCTCTTTTTTCGTCGCTACTGAATGACTGTTTTCCACAAGAGAATATCATTCGCAAGTACATTATTTCTATTGTTTAATCTCTTATAAATATTAATATCATGAATCTCGTGTGTCAGGTTGATAAGATTCCATGGAATATGGTAAAATGTCTGTTAATTCTTCCACTTATCTCGGCCCTAAATGCCAATGTATCTTTCATGACATATCACTATTTTATTCCAATAAAAGTTAAGATTACAGAGGAAGATGTTTATTATAATCTCTAATAATATTATCAATTGGATTTTGTTATTTAATATAAATTTCAAGTCCGTAAATTTCGTAATGTTTGACATAATGTTATTTATAGCAATGACTTTATGACGATGAATAAAAAAATGTTACATAAAAGACATTGTCTCAAAATAATGACCAAAAACGTCTTAGCAGAAATCTGAAATTTCAGTTGCAACTGCAATGAAATCTTTCCCTCCTTGATTATGCCATTATTTTCTCATAAGCAGACGTAATAAATCATGTCAAGATGAAGTCACAAATCAGGTTGCTAATTTTATAATTACTACATTTCTCAATGTTTCTTTGTTGAAACTATTTAAATAATATTGGTGTCCATTTAATTCTCGTTTTTTTTTTTTTCGCTATTGTATACGGGATGAATTTTCACATAGTCTCCAGCGGCTTTTTCTGGAGGCAAAATGACCTTAAGTCTACGATATGCCAGCAGACGCCGTAGTTTCAAATTGTTTTCAATAAGGATGTTGTCTGGATACTCTCAATTCTTTTTCGAATTTCTATTCTTCCCAACTTTTTTATTAAAATCTCTAATGCTGTTTAGCCCCCTAATTCTGGGAGGGGGTCTTCAGCGACGACGTCAATTCGGAAATAATTATTCTCTTGTGGACAGTGATAGCTAGTTGTTTTGAGTTCAGAGATAAAAGAACTTCAATACATGGAATTTTAACTTTACTATTTTATTAACGTTCATGTCGACATATTCTATCTATCCATTGGGGGTCGTTCTCCCTCACTGGGGACGTGTTTCAGACACAAAAGAAAACATGTCTACATTGTTTGATGGTTAAGACTTGACTCACTGAAACCTTTCTATCTGCTTTCCCAAGCTGGCCCAGACAATCAAAATTGACTTCCCTTATTATGGCTTGTATCTGACCACGAAGGTCAACATCCGGAAGTCGCAGATGAGATACACTTCTCACTAAGAATAATAGTTTGCTAAACTATTATTGAACACTGAGATTGTTCCGTGTTTTTCATCAACAATTTGCACATTTATGGTTTTCATGTTCTACAATACTAACATTATTATTATTTATACTTTTCTCACTTGATTTGTTTGGTTGCTAACGCGAAAGTTTTCTAAAAAATCCCCAGCATTCTCGTCACTATTCTTGGCCAAATTTTACAGTTGTTGTCTCTATCATTTAATTGCGTTTCCTTACAAATATATATTCGTCCTGATTTCGCAGTTTGCAAGGAAAATTTTTACCATTATGTAAATAATAACTTCTAAGTTGACTGATTCCATCCAACCAGGATTGAATAGAATCTTTATATCAATTATAATTTCTAAACGGCATTAAATCCGGTACATAATGGCAGAATGTTACCACCTCAACCATAACATTGTTAAATAATTATTTCAGACGTTTACTGTTAGAACAAGCCATGCAGATTCCACATAGTCGAATCACCCTTATTTCCCCCATCTTACGAATGTGAGGAGAGAGTTCCTCTCAGACAGCCTTTTTCCGAAGAACTGTGATTTTATGAGGCATGATCCTTCGTGGATGCTTCCTTGAGCATTACAATCTTAACCTCTTCTAATCACAGGTCAATTGTTATCTATCTTCATAATCTTCGCTTCCTACCATCTCCTCTTTCATTTATTTCACGCACAATAATCATCCTTACGATTTTAACAGTAAACCTCTACATTGAGTGGCTCTTGAGCCTTGTATTGTGTGATCTTTATTAAGTATGAAGCACTCAGTTAAGATCGAATAGCACTAAACATCTGCTATGGTATTTTACTAAACATTACTGTATAACACAAGGCTATCTTCTTTCTTTTTTTACTAAGTGTATTTTTGTCTGAAGGTCACGGTATAAGCCCTGATAAGCACCCTATAATATGCGTCAAAGGCAACAGTTTATATCTATTTCTTCTGTACAGCACGTGATACATTATATTACCATATACATATATGTCCTCCAAAATTGCAAGAAAACGAACAACTCCCAATCAAGGTTTGAAAAGTACTTTTTTTTTAACTCATATTTGTTAATCAGAAGAGACTCGATGCGAATATTACGTTGACAAAGAAAAGATCTTTAAGTGTTATTGTCTATCTGTTTGGATATACAACGAAGAAGTTTTAAAGAAAATTGGAAACAAAAGACGACGCTTATAATTAGAATCTGAAAGAAGGAGTTGAAAGTTCTGGAACACAACATGAGGAAAGATGACTTGAAAGAAAATTCGAGGCTCACGGGAAATATCGAAGGCAAAAGGGACATCTGTAGGCAGCAGATCTGACGAACATATGTGGATGGATAAGCAAAATGGCGAGTAGGGAGATTTACAAGAGAATTCTTCCTAATAACTATGAAAAATAGGATGTTGTAGAAATCCTTGATCGCCTACATCCTGAAGAGACACGGTACATAAATGAATATTTACAGGATAGAATTAGGATTAGCTAAGTTAATTTATTATATTATTTATTAATTTTAAAATGACAGGAAAAGAACAGAGCGCAGGATAAGCAACAATACTCTACTTTGAAGCCGTAAATATGTCAGAAGAAAAGCTTTTTTTTCTTTGTTATTACTATAAATATCTACGTATGTACTCTTAGTGTAGTGGTTATCAGCGAAAGTAGGATTGATATATTCAAATTACAGCCGACACTGTTGCATTCGCTTTGTGTAAATAGCTTTTCGGAGGTATAAACTCATCTCTTCCATGTACCACCAAGTAGGGACTACGAGCAAGGAGGACACAACCTTCTAAAACTTGATTGTCTACCAGTCTAGTAAAACAATAATTCTGCATTCAAAACCAATTAAGTGTTGAGGACTAACAACTCGAACCCTTAAAATCCTACTTGTCCCCCTATACACCACAGGAGAGAATTCTATAGGACTTAAATGTAGATATCAAACAAAGGTCCAAAGATGGTGATTGAAGGCTAGATTAATAGTGCTGTATTATCTACCGTTAAAATCAGCATTCAAAATCCTTTTTGTACCATGTCAGATTTGGCTGTCGATTCGGTCACATCCAGAAAGCAAGACAATAAGGATGCTAGGCGCTACCGATGTTTCACGAGATCAGCGGGTCAACCGCTATACTAAAACGAAAATTTGTTTTCCCATGAATGGACCAACAAAAATATGTTGACTATCAGAAATCAATAATAGACATCATTCATCACCCATATTCCCCTCATTTATAGGCGATAAATTCGTCTTTTCCGTTCAATCTGTTTTTATGCTCAATGTTGTTTCTTCTTCTCAAAACCGGGGATTCAACATGGCTGCGTTATCGATGGGATGAACTTTAAATCAGAAAGAGAAAAAAAAGAAGGAAAGGATCAAATCGACAGACTTTTTAGAATGAAATATTTTCTCATATAAACAAAAGATGCAAAAGTGAATAAAAGTAATGAAAAACGATTGAATTTTAATTGCATATTCAAAATGATTTTTACTCCGTTATTTCGACAACGATATTCTTACATTGACAGAAACACGCAACATTCTCCCGGGTTTCTCTTTATATCATTTTTTCATCGGTATCACCCCATGCAAGGCAGTAAAGCCACTAAGACACAAGGGGTTACTGGGTGTGGAAGAATTAGGAACAGAAACATTAATAATGAGAGGGAAGAGAAAAGTGTAATCAGGAGGACAGTAGATAGCGATTGACATTGCATTTAAATATTTGCGGATTAAATTTGTCTAGAAAACATGGAGCAAGAAGGGATCTCCACAAGCGAGAAGTGCAAGAAAGGAAAATGTTAGCATAGAATTTATAGTTATATCTAGCCACCTCGACTGTTAATTGAGATCTTAGCGCCAGTCTTTTACTGAGTACGACACAGTCGGGGCTTTGTCTACGAACGGAGACTAGGCTAAGAATAATAAACAATAAATTTGCCCGATCCTGCGGGGTCTGGATACATTTTGACCACTGGCCCGAGTGTACATGCTCGAATTCCTCACAGTAAACTCGAACTTGTGTCATATCCCGTTTCAGTGTAAATACTAGTCCATGGCAGTCGGAGAAAATTCTCATGTCTTTACGGCGAATTGTCTAAGCAAGACATAATATTATAACCGCTAGTAGTGAATTATAATAGAGTGTTAATTTCTCCAAGCCCTCTTTCCTCAATATGCATTCATGAAATTTCAAATATTTCTTATCCGAAGCACAAATGTTCTTGTCGTTCACATTTTATTTAACTGAATCGAAAACAACATTTTTTGCCAATCATTTATGAAATTTATGGTGGCAGTATCTGACTAATTTTGTTTTTTTAACAAATATTTGGGTTAAGGATTAAACCTGTCTACGCAAATATTAAAAATTTAAAATCCAGTCGAATTACATTCTTTTAAAAAAAGTGGATTTCTCGCCATTGAATTATAACCTTGTAAAATTTGTGATAATCTACAGTTTAGACTGGAGATAGAAGTTTAAAACTAAAAATTAGTCAATACTTTTCCGCACCTATGAATTTTATTTAATTACGTTAATCATATGCATGAATTTACATTCATTAATCTTTAACTACACTTTTCTGTTACTTACCGAAATACAAATTAGGGGTACAATTCCCAATTTTTGACCAGATGCCTAATTTAGAAAAGATTTATTGTGGAATAAAAAATTGATCAACAGTAAATAATTTCATCAAAAAAATGTCTTTATGGATTTATTACATTTGATGAGGAACAGTTCAGTAGAAAGTTGTTAATCAAGTGTATTTACTGATGACATGATTTATTCAACAAACAAAAACAAATCATAAATTTATACGATCGTGAAAAA